ATTTTTTTTTTAGAATTTTTATATAAATACTGCTTTAAGTGGGTCGCTCTGTCAGCTAAAGGCATGTTTTAGAGTCTCTACACTCCAGTTAACTGTTAATCGATTACTAGATTAGTTGAGGACTATTTGAATAATCGATTAATCTGATTAATTGTTTCAGCCATAATCCAAGCATCTCTAAGTGAGACCAAAATATCTGATCTTTGTTTACATTTTATTATTTGATATAGAATACCTAATCTAATAATAATAAAAAAAAGAAATCTCGCTTTGAAGAATGAATGGATAGTTGAAGCATTGTTGAAATAAAATAGTCATTTAACATCATTTATCAAAAGTATATTTTCTTGGTGGTTGTGTGTTATAATGCGATGTAAATATTCAATTATTTACAACTTTCGTTCCTGATTTTAGCCTACGCTAATTCATGTATATAGAAAATTTAGATGTTTTATTTTTTATTTGGCTTTTTTTTTGTTTTGTTCCCATGTTTGTGAAACATGGAGGAAGATTTTTTTTTTGTTTACATTTTTTTCTGATAAGCTCAATCACATCTCTAGACAAACAGTCACATGTAATTGAATAAATAAACGTATTTTCCGAAGCCCTGAAAGCCTCACCGAGTTCTCCAGCTGCCTGGCATCCTGAGCTCTGCAGCCCAGGACGTGCGGGCAGCCCCTGAAGGCGAACTCCTCCAGCTCGGCCAGCATCCTCTCCTTCTCCTCGCTCTGAGCGTGAACGATCTGCTTCAGGCGGAACTGAACCTGGGCGAAGTGCGACGTGAGAGCTAAAAGAGACGAGTTCAACAAGTCCTGCTCCTCTTCCAGCTTCCTCAGCCGGAAGGCCATCTCCTCATCCGTGGCTGACGATAAGCCTCTCTGCCTCGGCTTAACGCTGCTCTCCTCCTCGGGGCTGGCTACGGCACCCACCGGTGCCCATCGCTCCCCGGCGCCCGCGAACACAGCCTCGCTATCCGAAGCTGACAGCTCCTCCGTGGACATCCTGGACGGTGTGGGTCAATCCAGATTTTCCCTCGAAGATGTCAGTTAGTTGGTAACTTATTCCCAGGGATTATGCTTTAAAAAGTGTGTAAAATGGAGCAGCATCATCACCGAAGGAACAGGTGAATCGCCATCTTGGGAATGATGATTCATACGTCAACAGAGGAAAGTGAAGCTTCAAGCAACAAGAACAAACCGGAAGATCAGCCACTTACCTTCAAAATAAAAGCCTTTAATAATAATAATAATAATAATAATAATAATAATAATAATAATAATAATAATAATAATAATAATAATAATAATAATAATAATAAAAACTATTGGCAGTAGAGTTTAAGGACTTTTTCACATAATTTCCTTTTAAAGATTTTTTGATAAACTATATTTTTTCTTTTCCTCTTTTTTTCCTCTCATTTCTTTTTTTCCTCTTTTATTTCTTTTGGGGAATGCATTAAATGACTATACCTTATGAGTATAGTTTTTATATGCATTTGTTTTGTAAATCTTTAACCTATAGACTTTTTTTTAGACAGTAAAATTCCTTATTTGAAGATATTTTGGTAATCTCTATATCACTTACCAGGTCATAAGAGGAGTCTATGAGTGATAAACTATTTTTTATATCTGGATCTAGATTCATGTCTTATATTCTCAGTGAATGTTGGTTTGCATATAGATTTACGCTTTGGCCCTTAAATACCTGCAAGCTTTTTGTAATGTTTTTCCTTTTCTTAACCAGGTTAAATATGATGAATTTAAAAAAGTGCCAATTTTAATAATGTTTTCTAAACTAAATAGAATAGCTTTCATGCAGGTGCACTAAACCAGATAAAAACAACTGAATATGATAAAAGTTGCTAAACATAATAGTAAAAATATTTGTCATGATTAGTAAAAATATTTGTCATGATTAATCTTTGCACTAAATATTAAATGACTTCTGATGGAACAATACCATGTTTGAGCATACTTTCTTTACCAGCTCATCATTATTTTTGATTTCCTTAATCCCTTTAAATTGACTGGCCCTTAGGTCAGGCCAAATATATAAATATATCTGGTCCTGCTAACGGGATTCGATTCGAATCCCCTAAAAGCTCCTCTTGTCCGCACAGCTTGTGTTTATTTTTTTCTTGGATACGGCAAACTTCGCAGACTTACCAATTTTCACCTTATGGTTTATCTTCCTTTTAGAATTAGTCAATGACTGAATGCTGGAAAACTGTTAACGGCAGTTGTTTTTTTAGTGGTTGTATGTGACTTAGGAGGAATTAATTTACTAAGATTCTCCTTTACTTTAGTGCTTTTCATTTCAGAAAAAAGAAATGTATATTTAACAGCATATTTAGATATAACTATGGATTTTTCCTGGCTCAATGCAATATGGGCCTGGCCAGTTTTTATTGGGGCACAGAAAAGCATAAAGCAAAATAACAGGCAAATATTTAATAACTTAAAATATATTTAGAGAGTTGCAGAACCAAAGAGTTACTCGTGGATCTGCATCATTCACGTCAATTAGTTAAATTTAAATAATATGTTGTTCAAATTGAAATTTTATTAAAATTAATAGAATATTCCTTACATTGGGGAAAAAAGGAAGTTAGTTGCTATACAAATATCTGCTAAAAGATTAAATAATGCTATTCTTTGGAATATTTTTGACTTATTTCTTAGTTTTTTAGACTTAGTTTTAATCACAACAGAATTAGAAATTAATTAAAACTGATCAATTCAGATTTGATTTATTTGGTTCAAAATACCATTTAGCTGTTTAAAACTGTGGCCGTATCTCAAAATGACTGAAGCTATCACCATCATTTAACTTATAATTAAAACAGAAACGTAAAGAAAAAAATGAGAATGGTCCAAGGGAGCAATCATTCACTATGTTCAGATCTCCGATAGTATTTCTTTTAGTATTACATGTTCAATACAGGGGCCATAACAAGGGCCAGGACCAGTACTACAGGGGCACTGGCCTCTGTTGGTCCCTTCTAGAAATGGCCATAAACGTAATCACTTTTGACAAGCAAAACAGTGCTATTGTGGAGATTTCTTTAGTGTGGGATAGGCTGTGCACTGGAAAAAAAATTTAATCTAGATAAGTCATTTTTTTCTTAAAATAAGTGCATTTGTTCTTGGATTTAGGAGGTAAAAGAGACATTTTGCCAATGGAACAAGATAATTTACACTTAAAATAAGAAAACACAATTGCATTGTCTTACCTCAAGTGCATGTTATCTAATTATCTTATTATAAGAGAAAAAATACTAATTACATTGGTAAACTATCTCATTTACCTACTCAAATTAAGGGTAAATACACTTAATATAAGGAATTTTTTATTTATTTCTAGATTGTTTTTCCAGTATGACCAGTGAGATCAGTGAAGTCTAATCACTTATGCAGAATCGTTTAAGGCAGAAATTATATTTCAGGGATTAGGAAAAAGGCATCAATTACTGTTTGGAAAGCCAAAATAGTCCTATTTGGTCGATTTACTTTTCTTTTTTTCAGTGGTGGATTGAAGTGGTGGTTTTACTGAGATCAGTAGAACCAAACTAGGCCCGAGGTCTTCAACAGGGGGTCCACGACCCCAAGGGGGTTCGCAGAAGTACTGGATGGGGGTCATAAAAGTTTTGGTTGATTAGACTTTTTTTATATTCCCCCCTTGCAATTTTTTTCCACTAACTGAAATGTCTTTAAATCCACATTGAGATTAATTCAACACACTGTAGTAAAAAGATAAATGGAGGCAGAAGATTATTTTCAGTCATCAATGCACACATTCAGCGACACACAGGAGCTCTTTAAAGCTGGGCACCGTTTCATTCACAACACCCGTCCCATCAACCAGGAATCAGAATCAGAAACACTTTAATAATCCCAGAGAGAAATTACTTTCATTACATTACACCATTTCTAATAGAGTGACTATAGGACCAGTTTAATATAACACAATTTGATACAATATATATAATCAAGGGGTCCCTGCTGGTCTGGAAAACGTTAAAAACCCCTGCTCTAGGTTAAAACATTTTATTTTTATCAACAAATTATATTGTGATTGTCATACAGTTCACTCTGATCTCCTCTTGGCAAGTTAAATACTTCACTTATAAATAATTACTTAATATTTTCATTTTTTCATCATACCAGTAATCCCAAAATCCAAAACCCTGAAAGTATCACCATATTGTTTATGGTATGAATTTCTGCACCAAAAAAAAAAAAACACCAAACGCTGTTCAAGGTGCTCAGAGTCAAAGCTGCCTTCCTGACTGATGTCTATATGGATTTTTTTTTCACATAAAATATTTTGAAAACTGAATCATTTTTCTGCTGCTTTGTCAACTTATCTCATCTTTCTGTTTTACACCTAACTTAATCTGAACAGTGGCACTTTGTTAGTGCAGAAGCCAGACCTGGGAACCTATTAAGTGATGTCCTTCAGAAGAATGTCCCTTCTGTGTTAAGAATGGTTTAATCATTTATTCTGTTTTTAAGCTCTCTCTATATATTTATTACAGCTGGCTTAATAAGCAAGACTGAGTCATAACTTTGTCATGATTCCTTCTCTGAAATTACAAATAAAGGAAAAGTAGGAAAAGAAAATACAAACAATTTGTGTCGATATATACTATTTCCTTTTGTTTCTAATCAGGAAAAGCTGACTGGTTAGATCAACAATTACTTATTGATCCCTTGAAATCAGGCTGCTTTCCTTCTTTCATTCAAATATTGCATGTTTGATTTATTGCAGAGCAGCTAAAAATAAAAAAGACAATAGTTATTATACTTTTAATTAAAAAAGATAGATAGAAGTTTGCCCTGTGATGGACTGGCGACCTTTCCAGGGTGTTTACTGCCTCTCGCCTGTAGACAGCTGGAGATAGGCATCAGCATCCCTTACGACCCCACTTGGGATAAGCATGACAGAAAATGGATGGATGGATGATAGAAGTTTCCAGGTCTATTTTTACTTAAACTTTTTGCACCCCTGGATGCATCCACAAAGAAAAAAAGGAAAAGCTTTTATTGTATCAGTAAATAGGTGTGAAGCTTTTTGACTAAATGCTATTTACTATATTATTACACAGCAAAGAACGACAAACAAAAAGATGAAAGTTTTAATTTCTTGTTTATTGTTTGGATGGAAAACAGAGAAATCAGATCAGTTCTTCAATACGCTGCACTAGATAAAATCCACATTCGGTTTTAGTGATTAAACCTAAACATAAAATAATTTCTTGTGAGTTAAACTGATTTACAAACTTAAGATATTTATTTTTATTTTTCATCAGTAATTAGAGTGTAACAGTTAACCCACAGTGATTATTGTTTAATCACAATGAGGAGAAATAAAAGAAAAACTGTTTTATTAATGAATCATTTATGATTAGGAAAAAAAAAATGCTGCAGAAGACTGTGACAGGGATTAAATGAGAAGATTAATATTGCAAGTGGAGTGTTTCAGTTTTCTTCTTGATAGATTAGAGTTTCAAGTATTAAACTGTGTGTGCAAGAGAATAAAAGGAGCTTGTATTGCATGGAAAACCTGCAGACAGGAACCTTTTAATCCAAGCCCACCTACACTTACAGCTCTGTTTCAATGCGCTCCCTTCATCAATTAGCACAATTACCTAACAAAAAGTATTGAATGTATTTTATTATTATTTGTTTTTTTTTTAATTTAGACATAATCTCAGCATCCTAATATTCTCATAGAATAAGTGCTCTCTTCTTGTTGGCGAGGAACATGTTCCAGTTCAGCCAGTCGAGTGGCGAGCTCTGGGTGCAGGAACCTTCATCAGTGCAGGTGGAGCCTTGAGGGCAGCAGTGCTTCATGTCGCTGCAGCATACAGCCTGTGGGGACAGCAGAGGGCGCTCTAAGTTAAATAAACCCATGCAACTCATGTTAAAAGTACCCTGATGCTGAGAATAATTGCTTATGGGTGCAATAAAGAAAAAATCCTTTAAAAAAAATTTAAAGGATAGCAGATGGAACACAAGAAATACATTGCATCTTAATCCTATTTATCTTGATATACTGCATATATCTGGATATACTGTATATATATTGCTTATTCTTAATGCACCTCTTTCCTCCCTGTTTGCACCTTCTGTA